TGTGTGGGTCTAGTAGGAAAGATTTACATACTTTTTATTAACCTCTGTCTCTCTTCCACAGCATGTCTTTTATCCTGTCTTTCTTCTCCCACCCCAACCAGTCGCAGATGGCCCCGCCCCTCCCTGAGCATGGTTCTGCCGGATGTTTCTTCCTGTTAAAAGGGAGTTTTTCCTTCCCACTGTCGCCAAAGTGCTTGCTAATCGGGGGTCATATGATTGTTGGGTTTTTCTCTGTATGTATTATTGTAGGGTCTACCTTACAATATAAAGCATCTTGAAGTAACTGTTGTTGTGATTTGATGCTGTATAAATAAAACGGAATTGAATTGAATTTACAGGGATGGGATATATAGTTTAAAGAATAAACTTCAGCTGTACTTGTGAAGAACAGTTAGACAGGCTGACAAATCAGGCCTATTTCCTATGGAAAGATGGAGGGTGATTATAAAAACCTTGTCACTGCAGAGAGCTACTAAAAGAGGATCAAAGTAAGGAAGAAGGAACCTAAACCTGGACACCCAGTCTCACCTGCTTGCTCTCGACAGATGATCCCAGGCCAGTTTTAGTTCGCTTTTCACCTGGCAGGCTTCGATGACAGACTGTCTCAGCCTGAGGATAAAAGCCAAACACCTTCCTGTCAGTTCTGTCAGCCTGAAGAAACGTCCAGCAGTGAAGCAAATGACCTGAAGCCACCAGTCTGGACAAGGACTCCAGCGCATCCACATTCGTGACTCCAGTCTCTGTAGCACAAGATGTACTGACTTTGCATACATTACACAGATGACTCACACATTTTGTGGCTTTTAATGACTCAGCCATTAGGTGCACAGCAAACCTATCCACTCTCCCGAGGAGCACAGTGACACTGTTACAATACACATGTGAAGGTTATGCACACGTATAAATTAAGCCACTCATATGTTATAATGACAGAAGTCATACCTTTCATTTCAGCACATGACATGTGTACCGTACATCTGAGAGCGAAACTGAAGAATGACTTGCACAGCTTCAGAATTCAAGGCCAAAACTACCCACACTCAGTGGCCCTTTATATATAATAAAATGTGTTATATAAATAAAAATGCCATTACCAATGTAAAGGTATCTGAATCTGTGTATAAATGATGTAGCTGAGTATTTGAAATGTAAAAAAAGTTTATAGTATGATTTAAATCACTACGTTGAAAAAGAACTGTGACTGAAACTACAGAACTATCTGTATTATTAGTAATAATTTTATTATTATTATCATTATAGTTATAGTTTTTACATCACCAATTTTTACAACTATCTGGCAAAAAGCTGTTTATAGACACAAGTTTGGAATGTTGATTCTTGGAGGACGTTCACTTTGTAGCGAATCACAGATATGATGCAAAACTGTTTTATTTTATAGCTGAAGATTCTGGTTTTGTGAAACAAAAAAAAGTAACCTCCTCAAGTTTTTATAATGGCCTGAGTTATGTGAGCCATGGATTCACTATTGAATGATTGTATTCTTCATCAAGCTGGTTCCAGCTTTGCCAAAAGGAACCTTGTCATAGAGCTTTGTTTTTCATTTCCAGAATTAGTTTTCAGTCAGAGTGAGATCTGGACTGTTTTTCCGGCTGATATTCCTTTTCCAGAGAAAAACTTTGACACTATTTTCTCACCAGTACTTTCTTCTATACTTTAAGTGCTTTCTAACTAACATCCACACACATTCATACTCTGATGGATGCATCTAAGAGCAACTTGGGGTTAGAATCTTGCCCAAGGACATTTGGCATGCAGACTAGGGGGAGCCAGGGATTGAACCAGCAACCTGCTCTACCTCCTGAGCCACAGCCTCAGGCTACTTATATCCAGAACTGGCAGTCATCTGTCTCGTGAACATGGCTTCAAATTCTCATAATGTTCACACTTATTGAATATTCCATTATTCAAAAAGTGTAATAATCCTGCATGAAGTTTTCTGTGACCCAGGAACCGTCAGGTCACAGGACCATTGCTCTGCATTCATTTAGTAAAATTTATTTTTTTAGCAGCAAGGTTTTCTTTTACATAGGACTCAGTTCTTCTGCACATGAAGAAGGTGCATTCATCATATAATACCATGCCAACAGATCATTCTCCTCGGAAGCTCTTCAGCTGCTGTTAAACTTTCACTTTGAATGAATGACTCATTTGAAAGTTTTGAGTTTTCTGAAGACTGCAGAAAATCTCAAGACATGAAAGTTTCTGCTTTATTTTTAAAGCAAAAACTGCATTCCAATCTTTCTTCTACAGTCAAATCTTCAAAGACATTACAGAGGTAATGTCTTTGAAGATAAGTATAACACTTGCTGTATTTTAGTACTCGAGGATAAGAAATTGTAATTTTAATGATACTGTTCACCAAGCTGAATATAAGATCTTTTTAATATAAGATGGAGTTGAACCCCCTTTCATGCCCCTGTTTAGAATCTGTGAACCTGCAAACAAAACCAGCATGAAGCCCGTGTTGTTTATTAAGAACAGAATCTTTAACTTGTCGTTCGTATTTCCCACCAAGCATGGCACAACTATTCCTGATATCATCATCACCACCTGTGCGTACCATAAAATCAGAACCAAACCTGATTCAATCCTGCCCCCTTGTGACAACACTGAAATACAGAATATCACAGAGCCCAATGTTGATCATTTTTAAACTCCCAGGAAGAGAACCGTTTAAAAACAAAACTGAGTCACAGTAACTAAGAGATGTGTTCACCAGGACGTGTCTCACTCAGAGCGGAGATAATCTACTCACGTAAGAAAAAAGTGCATCGAAAACATTAGGCGTGTTTCTCAGTTATTTAATCCCTTTGATTTCAAAGAATAATTGGAATATAAAATGATTAAAATCAACATTTATAAACAAGATAAAATATGACAGGAATATAAACAGAAGGTGGGGGCTGCATTTACATTGTGCATTTATATTGTACATTTCATCGTTTATTCTGGTTTTACATTCTCGCTGTTGTCAGAGTTCACCAGTACTGATAAAAAGTAGAATCACAGGCCATTCATGAAAAGAGCAGAGCATGAACTGCGTGCCCTGTGAGGCCGAGAAATACTGCAGGAGCTCTTTGAGACTGATCAGGGTGAAGAGTGAGGCCAGAGAAGGGAAAGCTTGCTTTCTTTTATCTATCAGGAGACCAGGAGGTGCTGGTCTCCTGCTTGTCTTGATACATGGAGGTGCTCATTTAAGCTAAGAACAATTCCGATATTTTTATTTATTCATTTCCTTCAGCACAAAATGTGTGTTTTTGAAAACATTAGAAACTTGCCAGCATGTTTCTGTCAATTTAAATGTCTTTGAAATCTCCCCACCTCTCAACTCTCTCCTGCACTTTGAAGGTGACAAACCACCGTCCCTACAGTCGTATTTATCAGATATTACCAGAGCTTTATTAACTGTTTTTTTTCCCCCTTGCTCAACTTCTATACATGTGAATTAGAACATGTCTTGCTGGCTTAAAGCAACACAATTCAGGCTGCGAGTCTTAATATTTCAACAGTATCTAAAAAGCCATCTGGTGACAGCAATCAAATCACCAGAGCAAAACAGCAGCATGGCGAAAACCCGACCCTACTGCCTAGGAGAGTATGAAACATACATGTTAAGCAGAAGACAGAAGGACAAGAAGATCCAGGGGCTTGCTTCGAGTGCTTCTTATTTTGTACTCATTAGTGTCCTCTCATAGTTTAGAAAAGCAAAGCAAATAATGGCACAAGAACTCCAATAAACTCTGCCTGACCTGCAGTTAAAAAGTAAAAGCAAAAGAACTCATTCTATTTAGAAAATGTTCTGGGATTGTTAATTTTCAAAATGTCATTAAGTGCTTAATATAAAAGAGAGGCCTTCAGTATACATTCACCACATCATCTAAACCTGCCTTTGTACTAAACCCATTTATTTACTGGTAGATAAACGTGGGAGCGCAGGGCGTAGCAACTCACCGTGGCAACTGTTCTCTAGTATTGCAGACATTTTGGCACCAAACCCTTATAGGCACAAAGAAGCATCCTCAGGAGTCTATACTGTGTTAACACGCATCTTTGTAAATAAGCGCAGGTGTAATACTATCTTTATTAGATCTGAAGTGATGCCAACTTTCTCCTCTTGACTCAAGTTCATAAACAGTGCTGAGAGCAGAAAAGAAAAGCACACAGTGCAAATGGCAGAGATGTTTCAAACTATCAGTGACTGGCAGCTGTAACAAAAGATGGAAGGGACACTATACTGTAACCTACTGAAGCATCAAACGTTTTCAGTGCTGGCTGAAACAAACTGATTTGGGTTCAAATGAATACTCTGTAGTCACGCCTGTTTCTGGAATGTATGAAAATAAGTCTCTTCCATTATAGTTTTTTTCAGACTGCTGTTTGGGTTCCTTGACTTATGTAAAATTAAGATGCAAAATGGAAATAAAAGCGTTTCTTTCCAGCAGAGGGCATGGCAGAAAAACATTACATGAGTTCATGTTCAAATTTCACATTCTTGTGAGCACACACACACGTGCCGTCACATGTATTGTTTAGCCAGTCATCATTAACTTGTCGAATGGCTGCTGTATCAATCTTCCCACAAAGTAAGTAGTTTAAAGGAAAGGCGGTGTCAGAAATACACCTCCAGATGGCTCTGTGCCATGTATTCTACATTCACACACACCTGCAAATGACATTTAAGTGCATCTAATGGGTGAAGTTCACCCCACTGAGGTGTACAATAAATGCCAAGGCATCAATTAAGTACTTACAAGCCAATTTTGTGCAGTTTTGAGAGACAGAGAAGTTAGCTGACACCATCAGTCTTAGCGTGGTAAACTCGAACCAGCTGGTACGCCAAGGTTGTTTGTTCAAATGAAAACGCTGAAAATTGCTAACAAATACAGTCCGACTCTGGTTTATCCATCCCCACCCTCACACACACACACACACACACACACACACACACACACACACACACACACACACACACACACACACACACACACACACACACGCTCAGCACACTACTCCAGCTGTGACAAACACTGCAGTGCATTTTGTCTCGATGCAAACGAGTGATTTTCACATTAAGAGTTCAGACTGACGTCCGTGCGCTGTCTCTGTTCGGACGCTCGCTGCAGCACATGCTGGGTTTTAGCCGGTGTCTTCCTCGGCGTTATGGCCGAGGAACTTCTCTGGATTGGAGGTACCTTCAAAGCGCTGCGAGGCAATGGCGGCTTGATGAGACATACTCTTCCTCACAATGTCGCCTTTCCTCCACAGTGTGATCTCCTGGAAAAAATTAAAACAACATACATGGTGGTGTGAGGGGGATGTACTGTTGGTAAACTCTCAGATCTATAAAAGTTCAAAATATTAACAATTAACTAACTGCAAAATATCCTCAGATTGCCAGAAGAATTATAGTCTTTTTTTATTTCCCCCATGTGCTCTCATATTTACCAGTAATTGAATCATTCTCAGTTATAAACATTTCTTCCTCTCACATGTTTAACCCTCCTCAGTGCCTCTGTGTACACAGATTGGGGCGTGTGGCCTTGATGCCAAGACTCTGACACCCAATCAGCTTTGTTTTCCAGCTAGAGTCCCAGGACCATGATTGGACAGAAGCCCAGTCCTTGTACTGATTGATAACTGAGACTGTGTTTTCAGAAGTGCAGAACAGCGCACATACATTTTTCATTGTGCAAATGCTTCCTTCTTTTATTCATCTTGGTCATTATGAACTTTTATGCACAAGCCGCTATTATACTTTTTTTTTAGCCATGAATGGATGCAAACATTTCCTCTGTTTTCTTCTTAACTTATTAGACAACAGCAAAGAAACAGTACACGTCTCCCTGGAAAAGTGCAGAAAAGCTCACTTAGTTTTGCTGGTCTCAAAAAAAGTAAAAATAACTAAGAAAATCAGAGGATCAGCTGTGAACTGCTTCAACTGGGCAATACAGGGAGTGCAGAATTATTAGGCAAATGAGTATTTTGTCCACATCATCCTCTTCATGCATGTTGTCTTACTCCAAGCTGTATAGGCTCGAAAGCCTACTACCAATTAAGCATATTAGGTGATGTGTAATGAGAAGGGGTGTGGTCTAATAACATCAACACCCTATATCAGGTGTGCATAATTATTAGGCAACGTCCTTTCCTTTGGCAAAATGGGTCAAAAGAAGGACTTGACAGGCTCAGAAAAGTCAAAAATAGTGAGATATCTTGCAGAGGGATGCAGCAGTCTCAAATTTGCAAAGCTTCTGAAGCGTGATCATCGAACAATCAAGCGTTTCATTCAAAATGGTCAACAGGGTCGCAAGAAGCGTGTGGAAAAACCAAGGCGCAAAATAACTGCCCATGAACTGAGAAAAGTCAAGCGTGCAGCTGCCAAGATGCCACTTGCCACCAGTTTGGCCATATTTCAGAGCTGCAACATCACTGGAGTGCCCAAAAGCACAAGGTGTGCAATACTCAGAGACATGGCCAAGGTAAGAAAGGCTGAAAGACGACCACCACTGAACAAGACACACAAGCTGAAACGTCAAGACTGGGCCAAGAAATATCTCAAGACTGGTTTTTCTAAGGTTTTATGGACTGATGAAATGAGAGTGAGTCATGATGGGCCAGATGGATGGGCCCGTGGCTGGATTGGTAAAGGGCAGAGAGCTCCAGTCCGACTCAGACGCCAGCAAGGTGGAGGTGGAGTACTGGTTTGGGCTGGTATCATCAAAGATGAGCTTGTGGGGCCTTTTCGGGTTGAGGATGGAGTCAAGCTCAACTCCCAGTCCTACTGCCAGTTTCTGGAAGACACCTTCTTCAAGCAGTGGTACAGGAAGAAGTCTGCATCCTTCAAGAAAAACATGATTTTCATGCAGGACAATGCTCCATCACACACATCCAAGTACTCCACAGCATGGCTGGCAAGAAAGGGTATAAAAGAAGAAAAACTAATGACATGGCCTCCTTGTTCACCTGATCTGAACCCCATTGAGAACCTGTGGTCCATCATCAAATGTGAGATTTACAAGGAGGGAAAACAGTACACCTCTCTGAACAGTGTCTGGGAGGCTGTGGTTGCTGCTGCACGCAATGTTGATGGTGAACAGATCAAAACACTGACAGAATCCATGGATGGCAGGCTTTTGAGTGTCCTTGCAAAGAAAGGTGGCTATATTGGTCGCTGATTTGTTTTTGTTTTGTTTTTGAATGTCAGAAATGTATATTTGTGAATGTGGAGATGTTATATTGGTTTCACTGGTAAAAATTAATAACTGAAATGGGTATATATTTGTTTTTTGTTAAGTTTCCTAATAATTATGCACAGTAATAGTCACCTGCACACACAGATATCCCCCTAAAATAGCTAAAACTAAAAACAAACTAAAAACTACTTCCAAAAACATTCAGCTTTGATATTAATGAGTTTTTGGGTTCATTGAGAACATGGTTGTTGTTCAATAATAAAATTATTCCTCAAAAATACAACTTGCCTAATAATTCTGCACTCCCTGTACAGAAACTGCATTTCTGGACTGGCTTCAGTTTTCAGCCCATGAACTTGCTGCCTGCCTGTAACCCTCACCCGCCAAGGGTTCTTTTTCCCAAACCGCAGAAAGCTCGTCCAGAGACACAAAGTCATTATAGATCTATAGTGCGATATTTCTAGAGTACACATTTTCTTTACTATGTCTAAAGTGGTCATATTCCTAGATACTATGACTAAACACAAAGTAGAGCTCCAAGAACGACACAGTACTTGAAACTGCTTGAACCACAGCAGCTGGAACGTCATTAACAGTCACCTGTGTGAGTGAGCAGAAGAACTACAGATCTTGTGTGATCTCACTGTCTGTGTACCTGCTGTTTGAAATAGCGTCTTTCCTCTTCATCTATGAGGACCAGATTAAGGTAGTACCGCACAGAAAACTTCTTGTTAATGTCCCTCATTGTGGGGGTCAACTCATAGCCTGCCAGAAACAGCCTGATGGGGATGGACTCTCCTGTAGCACAAGACAAAATCAGGTTTAGTTTGCAACAAATGAGATCTGCTGCAACAAGCAGCAGAACCACAGACCATAAAAGGCCTCTGACCTCACCTCTGACGGGGGCACCATCCATTATTTCATACTTTGCTATGGTGTCATTCTCATGGTAGACGTTAGGGCCTGTGCCAGTTGTCTCCCGCTTGATGATGTCAATCTCCATATGTCTGATCTTAATCCTCACTAGGAGGAAGTAAATCTTCCCTACAATAACATCTTTTAGGTGATACCTGCAAGCAGATGATGGAATCTGTTAATATTCTCTCTTGCTTTGATCATTTCAATTTCTGATTGCAAAGAAAAAAGAAAATCATACTTGGACTTATTGTACTCAAACTCTATGTGTAGACAGTCCTCAATGCCAACTTCCATCTTGATGGAGGAGTTCAGCTCGGGGTAGGTGCTGAGTGTGTGAACCACAAGATCCAACTCTTTGCTGATGTCGTTGAGTCTCCGGCCTACTGTCGCCCTGAGAAAGTAGCTGGAAGCAAATGCAAAAACATTTGGATACAAGAGAGGAGCATGTCACTAACAGCCAGTAAGCAGCATGTGAGGTTGCACTGACCAGTACACAGATTTTCATCTCTGTGTGCACAGCATGCCCCTCTTTAGATGCACTGTTGCATGCTGCAGGTATTGCTACAACAGAGAACACCAAAGTGTACAAGAAACACACAACTTTTACAAGTGAAGGCAAACTAATGTAGCAGTTTATCTGCATTTCAGATCATATTTTAAGTAGTTCTTTGTAACTGACGTTTAGTAAAGCAAGCTGGGGTTGGACCAGAGCACCTGAAGATGCTTTTCTTTACCACCAACGTTGTTGAAGAGGTAACAGCAAGTATTGTTATGGTTTTGCATGTCATGAAGTAATCTTACAAAGAAACTTCAAAGATATCTTTGAACTAGTTTGAAAACCTCACATGCAAATTTAATGGGAAAAAGAAGCCACTTGAAGATCTTCATGAGTACACACTGTCTCTCAATTTCTTAGTCAGGAGCACCACTTACTCAAAACATCTAGTTTCAAAACAGCAAGATAGTGATGACGAAAAAGCTCAACTAAAGACTTAAAAGTGGACCTTCCCGGTGCTTGAAAGTAGGGCTGGGTATAGTCACTGATTTCTATAACGGATTCAATTCTGATTCACAAGGTCTCGATTTGATTTAATTTAATTCAATTTTGACTCAGATAGTCAGAAATATTATTATTGTAATCATTTATCAGTACTGACACTTGTCAGACTTCATCAGAGGTGTGAGCATCACAGCAGATGCCTTTGTGTCAAAGTAACTGAAGATAAAACAGAAAAACATGAAGGCAATTTTCCTGGCCTGGCTTTTTATAGCAGATAAGAAAACCATGAATCAACATATATCTGATGCTGCTGAAGTAAAGCAAAGCAAAGTTACAGAGGTTTTTATTAGAGATAAATCTAAGCGTTTTGTAATTTGGCATAATTTCAAAAAGCTTAAATTTTCTTCGGTAGTGAACAGAAGACATTAGGCTCTCTTGACAGAGAGCATTTTTTAAAAAACAAAAAACAAAGATGAGAAAATTTATAGCATTCTCACTCCTAAATATGAAGCAGGAAATTGAAGATGTATAGCTTAGCATATACGAATGAAATACAGGGTAACACCTCAACTGCACAAAGGTTAAGGAATGTCCAGCGTTATAGCACGCCATCAAAAACATGGAACAAGCCATTAACGATTCCACTTGCAGAGGACAGAGCAGAACTTACCGTAACTTGACGTTCTGACCAGTGTATGATTCGTAGGGTTTCTCCACATGTGTGAACTCAAAGTCAAACGTCTGTGACTGTGTGAGCTCCCCTGGTCGAGCCAAGTCTTTCACCAGAGACACAAACTCGTGATGATTCCCCCTGTCATAGTACATTTCTGGAAACACAAATTAACAGTGTCACACATTGCCCATCGCTGAAGTCATTTTAAACTCTTTTATCTGAGGAACTGCAAAGACAATTGTGTACTGACAGTCCTCACAGTGACCACTTCTCCCACTGTGCTGACACACTGACTACATGGTGCAAGCTGAATTTCAGTGAAATGACTGGTCAGAAATGAATTTACATACTTTATAATTATTACCGTTTGCTTTCCATTTCCTATCTGCTCACAACTATTTCAAAATCAACTGAGATACTTTAACATGCAAATGAAAAATGCTAATCATTTTAACCAACTGAAAAAAAGACTGACAGCATGATGTTTAAACTAAGCAACGCTGTTATTTGAAAAAATTTATTCTAAGTTTGTTTTTAGCGTGAGTAGCACATTTGAAACAGTTTGTGCAGGCCTGTGTTTGTTGCATCACTTCCTCTTTTAACAACTGTAGAGGTTTGGGAACTAAGGAGCGTGAATGCTGTAGGCCAAAATGCTTTCTCATTCTTGCTTGTTAAAGCATTGCAGCTGCTTAAAAGTGCAGGACACTGTTTGTCATGTTCATGTTTCAGAATGTGTTTGAAGTTTCCAACAGGTGACAGGTTTGTACTGTGGGCAGGCCAGTTTAGCACCCAGATTCTTTCAATGCACAATTAGGAGTTGTGATCTGTGGAATATGATTTGGCTCTGTTTTGCTTCAATAACGTAGACATTACCTACAGAAACGAAAAATACAGCAGTGTATTCTGGTCCTAAACCTCTATATATACACTGCATGTTTCTAGAGTGCAACAAACAACAACCAGCTTGGATAGAGTGTAAACAAACAAATATGTAACTATATATAAGAGGGTCGCAGATGCCAACAGACTTAATAAACTAATCCGTAAGGCCAGCAATGTTGTGGGGATGGAGCTGGACTCCCTCAAGGTGGTGTCGGAGAGGCGGATGCTGTCCAAGATAAAGACAATGTTGGATAACACCTCCCACCCACTCCATGACACGTTGGTCAGTCACAGGAGCTCGTTCAGTGAGAGACTGAGATTACCGAAAAGCACCACTGAACGACACAGGAAATCATTCCTGCCTGTGGCCATCTCCCTGTACAACGCATCCACTTAACACACTGTTTGCTGCTACAACTACACATGTTTCTTTTCCAACTATTTATTTATGAGTGACTTATGTATGTATGTATGTATATATATATGTATATATTGTACTATTCTTAGTTAGTGTATTGTCTGTCTTGTCTTAATGTTGGTTTAAAATGGAGCACTGTAACAAAAAATAATTTCCCCCAGGGATCAATAAAGTATTCTGATTCTGATTCTGAAATGTCAGAGAAATCTGTTTGAGTTTGTCTGAGAGAGAGTAAAAAAAATATCCAGTGTAAGACTGGATATCTGCAGGGTTGAAACTACAATGTGCAGAACCATGGAATACAACACTTACTTCACCCTGCTGTGCGTTACCCGGTTATTTTATACCGGTTGTAAAAGGGAACCACCTGAGTAAAATAACCATTACAAAAGCTGATGTTTTAAAGAAGGTACATATAGGGCCAATTCTAATAACAGTCTGTGGCAGCATAAACCCTTATTTAACATTAAAATGCAACTGCTGGGATTTGCTAAAGAGGCATGGTGTCAGTTTTGTAACTGAAAGTTGTGGACAGCGGTATTTTTGCAGCTGGTCCTATGGCATATATAATTTCAGGAGGCGAATATTACATTTGCAGCCTGTAATTTAAACATTAAATCTAACACTGAAGAATTATGCCTCTTCCGGTTGTGATGCATTCTTAGATGAGTTTTATTTGGAATAAGAGAGAGGAAGAATAAATGCATAATTGGCACATTGGGTGAAGGGCTTAAAGCGGTGACTGCAAAGCCAAACTTTGGCTGTCCTAAACTCTTCACTGATTTCACATGCTGAATGGTTAGAGGTAAGCCCTACATCATACTCTCCTTTGCTGGGTCTGCTGGTTTTTTAGCTGCTAATTTGTGGTACTTAGCATTAATGTGGTGATTGCTTTAGTGAACTGGCTGGGCTTTTGTATATAAATATAGCCTAGTTAGTAGACCATCCTGTCTGACGGCCTCCGACTATGAATTATGGGATGGCACTGATCACAGCGTTTATCATGGCCGCCACAGAGACACTTCCAGGTCACTTAAACGGTATCATCTGATAAACACTGTTTTAAACACACAGACACAACAATACACAGTTCGCCGCACCGTCAGAAACGCCTTTAAGCAGTTTCCTTGAAACTCTCAGCTCTCAGGCTGCCATCTTTGATTGAACAAAAGTAAAAGTGACAATCACCTAATACTTCAGTTCTTACTTACATGTGATAATCTAGGCACCGAAAGTGCGACTTAACAAAAAGTGTACGTTACAGAAGACGTTTAAAAGAAGGGCCAAAGGTCACTGAGACGTAACGGCTCTCCAATGGCTGACGAGTCAGCTGACGTCGCTCGCGCCCACATCTGTCACGAGACCCGACACTTCAAATAGACACTTGTTACTGCAGTACGGCCGAACTTTAAATGCGTTTCTTGTCACTTTTTACACATTAAAGCTGTAAAATACACCATGCTGATAGTCGTCAGTACATGTAGCTAGCTACCCAGTATTTCCTGTCACACTTTGGCTACTTCTGTCTGGGGCTGAATGTGGAATTCAGGCCTAGCAGCTGCTCACCTATCTGGCCGATAAACTCGATTTTGATGCCATTATGCTCCAGCCTCTTTCCCGGGTATTTGAGTGTAACGTTGACTTTTCCGGAAACAGTTTCCCCGTCGTAGAAAAGGAAATATTTGTCTTTCCTGCCGTCTTCGCTTCTGTGCTCAGCTTTCTTTCTCGTTTCGGCGTCATTCAGAACTATATCTATGTCCGCACTCTGACCAAAACCAAAAAAGCTCATTGCTGCTCGTTAGTCAAGCGAAGCCCTGTGGCCGGATCCCGCTGGAAATGCGCTGTCTTCCTAATGAAAGAACACACTGTAGTTTGTTCTCGGTTTGCCGCGAGGAGTCCAGCGCGAGCTGCTTCCCAGATTATTGCATATTTTGAGTTACAACCGCCTGACTACGCATGCGTCTACAGTCACGTGAAGGAAATTTTATTCTTTGTAGTTTGTTTCGTTTCTCTGTTCATGAATTTTTTTGACAAATTGTACTCTCGGTGCTAAAATGAAAAATTATAACGAGCAATATTTCGCTGAATGCCAACTTTTCAAACAATGGTAACCCTCCCCTTCACCCCACCTCTGCACCTTTCAGGCGCAGTATCAACAGGCGGAAGAAGCCACAACTCCTGGCCTCCTTGAGTTGCTACTGCCCCGAGTAAAGTCTTACAGGTGTTGGAATGTCCAATTTAAACACAATTTAATGGCCTTCAAATTATGATTGACCAAGATGTTCTTTTGGAGGCTGAGGCTGTCCCAGCGACCGTAGGGCAAGAGGCAGGGTACACTCTGGACAGGTCACCAATCTGCTGGCTAACATTGCCACACCTATGTCATTCAGATTAACCGGACTGTGGGAGAAACTCACGAAGACACGAGGAGAACAAGCAAACAACTCACAGAAACGCCATGACTTGATGATGATACTGGGGTACTTCGTGCTGTGAGGCTGTGTGTGCTGCCTGCTTCTTAATATACTTGGTATTATTCTGAGTATAATTATGTTTTTGTTTATGTGGATATAGTACATTTGTACTATTCATCTACATTTTTTAACAAAATTTGTTTACATTTTTAGTAAGTGTGAGAAAGTGAGAAAAGAGTTTGATCAGAAGTTTACTTTGTTTTCCAAAAAAAATTTTCTTTTTCTAATTGTACTGTCATGAACTTTAACATTAAACATTCTAAATATGAGATGCATCTTTTAAATGTGTTTTTAATATGTTAGTCTTAAAGTTTCTCGCTGCTTTTTTAATTATTTCCCACGCCTGTTTGTGTTCCTGCAAGCCTCAACTTTCTCTGCTTTTAAGATCTGGTTTCATATGGAATCATTTGAGTCCCTCACTTTTTGTGTTAGTGATGCAATCTGTGAAAGGGATCATGACTCAAACAGCCAAGTCAATTGGTAGAGAGTGTTTGGTTCAGTTCTGATGGTCTGTGTTTATGACTCCATGCCTCAACTACAATGCAGTAGCTGTGTTAGCTATAGAAGGGTTACAGTTTGGAGGGGTATTACTGGTATACTGGGTATACTGGTACTCATATAACACCTTTCTACTCAGTTTAGCACTGAGAGAAATTTGTACTGCAAGTCACATTCACCCATTAACACACTCTCATACAGAGTTTATCTATGCCAAGCACTCTGTTGGGAGAAATTGGGAGACAAAATTGCATTGTGAGCAACTCGGGAGTACACAAAGATACTTTGAAAGGAAGAGTCAGGGATCTAACCACCAAAGCAGACGAAGGAGAATCTAATGTAACTGCACCACGATTCAGTAGGTCTATATTTTTTCCTTGGATTTGTTTGCTAAATTTTATTTCCAGTGTGAGGAAATGTGTCTCGCCTAATTCATACAAATAAAAGAATGGTTTGTATTTTTATCCAAAGAGCAAGATTAATTTAACAATGAATTGCATCACTTCTCAATTTTGGTAGATTCACTGTTGCCAAGGTATCTGTCTCATATCAGAATAGGAAGAGGTTGGACTGGTACAGCCCTGGCCTGAATGAAACAGTATTGGAGCTTAGAAAAAACTTACTGTATAGAAACTACGTTTAGAAATGTACTAAATCGACTTGTGTAAGTATAATGATGATGCATTTCCATTCGTTTTTAATCCCCTCTGCTTTTGACTCATATTGACTGCATGTTGTACCAGTTTTAAGCACTAGAGGTCAGGAGTGCACAATTTGTAACATCCTTATGCAAACTAAGCTCATTGTGGTGTCTGGAATGACTGCAGTAACAATAAATCCACAAACACAAATCTTTTGCAGTCTGTTTAAATTTTGTCGTTCACTCGGTCTCTCCAATGAGTGGGGAAAAGGGAAAACTGGCTCCAGGATTTCCCTGGACCCGGTTCTCTAATGGCACTGCTAGAGGGCAAGGTTTAACCACAGCAGGACAGATAAACCTGAGAGCCCTCCTAAATTCTCAGGTTTTTGCAATTGAGCTCCAGATGTTTTGTGCCATTATTTAGCATTTAAAAAAAAAATATTCATGTGAAAAATAAATCCTCACCCTCATTGCAGGCACGTCATGTCTTTTTCACTCTCAGATTTGAACTCTTGGTGGGAAATCCTCTAAAACCTTTAAAAGCCAGCATAGTGTTGCTGTTTTATGCAACCTGTAGTTTTGGTAACATGAACCACATGCTTCACACACATCAGTCACAGCAGTGTTTCAGATATGAAGTGAGTGGGAACAGTTATTAAATTTTGTGTGTGTGTGAGTGTGTGTGTGTGTGTGTTGCTTTATCTCATTATGAGGCTAACTGCCTAATTAGTTCTGGTGGCTTACAAAGACAGATTAAAATGATCCTCTTTTTGTGAATAGCTTTAGAATCCAACATGAAAATAGTCAAACAGCCCCCTTAAGGCTGAGAGATAGAAATGTTCTTTTAAAACAATGACTCATTTTTGACAGCATTTTTCTTCTAAAATTGTCCTGCAACAGCATCACATGAATTGTGCAACTCCTTTTTGGACAAATGACTAAAAACTTTTAACAAGCTGATGCCTCCTAGCTGTCATGGTGCGACTCAAACCAATTATTTCTGTGACGATGGGAGTGTGAGGTGCAGCTGTAGACCCTGCTTGGACATGGACACATCTTGCCAGTGTGTCCTTCTGTCACATCCTACTGTGATATTTTCTAAATGGCCAACTTCCCTCTGTCAAGTATCATTTTTTCCCCTCACTGTGGTGTCTGCTCTGCATACACTGAATGCAGCCCTGTCCTCTGAAAAGTCCCTGAAAATGCAGAATGTTTGAAGATATTAGAGAGAAATGAGGTGAAGACTGGGCAGATTAACCAGTTTAGGGGCAAAGCATCTGCTGTGGGCAGAGGAACACCTGTGCTGTAGCTGACATTTATTTTAATAAAACATCATATAACAAATAAAGGTGTAAAAATTAAGTTGATGTTGGCTCCTCCACAGCAGTTATGGATCCACACACTATAGGGCCACAGGAAGGGATCTCTCATTATTTATTCATTTTTCCCCTTGCATTGGAAATTGTTAGATTTTTGTGGTCAGTAATTCTTTCAATCATTTGCTCTTGCATTAAATTTGCATTCAAATCTATGATGAACTCTCTGACTGTCAGCGTATTCAAACTGTGGAATGGTTGCCAGAAGTCCTCTTTCCTAATAAAAGTGGTCATTGCAAACTGAATATGTGGTCAAGGTGTGAGAAAGATGTGGCGTGGAAACGGCGGTAACATATGAATGTGAATGTGTGAACGCTAAACGGCATCACCATTGTTGCCCAGGAATCCAAAGACTCCTACTGGGTCCCCGCCCTCTGGGCTTGTGCACCTGGAGGTGGTTGAGTCTTCACATCTGCTGGCAGTCATTCATCACCTCTGCTATTTAAGGCTGAAGAAATCCTCCAGTTGACACCAGATTGCACTAGCTCTGGTAGTGTGGTTCAGCTCCTCGTACTGGCCCAGTGTTCAAGTTTGCCTTCTGCTGTTCTGCAACTCAACCTCTTCTCTGTGCAGAAGGCCTGTGTCGAAGAGTGGCCGAGAGACCAGTGTGGCAAGATTCCCATGAGAGAGATTCAGCGGACTTCCCTTTTGTTTGTCTCATTGTCTGAATACCTGTGACCTCGCTGTGTTGAAAAAAGCTGGTAAACTTCTATTCCGAGCCCAGCGATCGAGTCCAACTGTGAGAGCGAGGCCCGCCTCGAATAATATTGTAAAATATTTAAGATGCAAGTGAACAAATTATACAAGAAAGCGAAACAGGCATAAACCTGTGTGTGTGTGTTTCTGAACTCCTCACTTGTTTGGGTTGTAATTACACCGTGGCAAATGTTGCTGTTTTCCTTTAACACTGTAAAGGTCAGCCTGCTGGTTCTGAGAACAGATCTTCCTGCTGGTATAAATGAACCCCCGAAATGTAATCAAACTGCTGTTCCACTGACAATAAAACTGTAAGCAGCCATGTTTGTGGAACGTGTTGAGTAGAGTTTTGTGGACTGTGTCCTGCACACAGACGGCAAACAGAGGAAACCAGACACTTCAGGGTTTTTTGTTTTTTTTTTTTAAATTAGTTTTAGTGTGAAAGTGTCAGAAATGATTAGTAGTTACCTGTCTTTGTTTCACCGTGCTGACCAGAATGGCTACATTTATCTGTGAGCTGTATTTTTAATGGAAGAACCATGTGGGACACACAAACAGTGTTTTAATATCTTAACCCATTCTCAGTTAATAGTAACACACTTACATCAGTTTGATGCTGCACACAGCAAATGCCACCTATAGCTGTTCTTCTTAGTCTTAACAAAGAACATTAAGAACAAACTTTAAGGTTCACAAGTTTTAGTGAGTTCAGGTTTATCTAAATATTTAAAATGTATCACTCACTCACTCACTCACTCACTCACTCACTCACACACACACACACACACACACACACACACACACACACACACACACACAACAAAACTAAAGATTTTTCCTTCATAATTATTTCCTCGGCCTCGTGCACTTCTTCCACTGTGGGTTCATGGTACTTCTTGTCATACTTCAATTGTAATTTGCTTCAGTGGTCCTCGTTCATCATTTGACCCAAGTAAGATCTCTGCGTGTTTGCTAAGAATTTTGAAAGACTAACTTAACACCATAATTTGCTGGATGTTGACTATTACAGTAGAGTTACCAGTACAACTAACCACAGATGTGTTTCATCCTATTAACTGTTAGAGGAGTAACACTGACTCACATGCTGCATGACTTTCAGAGCAGCGTTGTGTGCTTTGTTCAGTGAATGAACTGAGTGTGCTACATTTAATCACAATTTGAACACAGGGCTTGCTGCCTTCTTAAAAGTAGGTATTTTTTCATCCTTCTGCCTGACGATAAAGCCAGCACTGATTGATTTTACTGTGAAAT